GTGTGTGTGTGTGTGTGTGTGTGTGTGTGTGTGTTTGTGTGTGTGTGTGTGTGTGTAAGATCTCTACGGATTCATCAATTTTCAAGTGAGGAAAAAATAAAGTGAAGTGCAATCCACAGCGGAATTATCTTAGTAGGAAATATTTAAAGTTCTAAGGCTTGAGACTTCGACTTTAGCTTCAGTAACGTTGTGGAGTTAATTTAATCGGCCTCCTGAGAACGCTGAGGCTACAAAAGAACCGCAAAATTCACCCCCACCACAGACAGAAACGCTACCTGTATATTCACATCGCAGCGAAGTGAAACGTTTCCACACACACACACACACACACACACACAAAAGGCTGTTTTGGAGTAGTAAAGCATGTGTGAATGAAGTCCAGTCGAATTTTTTACCTTCTTCCAAATGAAGAGGTTCTCCTTAGAACCAAGCGCTCTTGCGTTCCCTTATTTCCCTTTTACAGCACGTCCTGAAGTGTTTTATTCCTCTTATACCGCAGCACGTTTTCAACAATTGCAATATTTTTTTTTTATTACAGAAAAACGTCATACTTTTTACCCAAAGTCGTTGTGAAAACGCCGGTGAAACGACTCATTTTCTCTTCTCGCTTACGTTATAGCAGCTATAAACACTCGTTCCCTCACCAGCCTCCCTTTTTTTTATCTCTCTCTTAAAGTTAACACGACTAAAAAAAAAACCTGCAGCTTGTCGTGTTACTGAGAAACCGCAAAGAAGCTCCTCTGTCACAAAGCGCTGACGCTGGAGACTCCTTCCATAAATGTTAAATAAACATCTCCTTACACACTGAAAACCTTAACAAGTTGACTGGACTCCACTGATGGAGTAAACTTTGAGTTTAACTGAGTAATGGTTTCTCCCAAAACTTGTATATTTAAGTTCAAGTAACTTGTAGACTGTGCTTAAATCGTTAAGTTCGCGTTTACTGACCGTGAATCAAACCCAGGCCACGGCGGTGAGGGCGCCGCATGCTAGCCGCTAGTCCACCAGTGAATCAGTGCACCGAAATAATTAAGTTCACTTGATTTGGTGTTCATTTCAGGCGTACTTAAATACAGGGCGTCCCAAAAGTCTCCGTAAAATAGAGGAAATTAGCACTTTTTAGCAAAATCTAAATATTTTATTTACAAAACATCCTCTACAT